TGTTTGCTCTTTTTTCATGTTTCCTCTTTTTTTCATGTTTCCTCTTTTTTTTGTCATATTTCCAAGCCCCTATTTTTATAATATCTCTTGCTATTACTTTTTTCTCCCCAGCTCGTCACTCCACTCCACCCTTCCATCCCGATTCTCATTTTGCAGTCTTCATGATTCTCACAGTTATCAGATTCCCCCTTTAAGCCCCACCCCATCCCTCTGACATCCCCCCCACCTTCCCTGTCTGCCATGCCTTGTCTTGTCACAGGATGGCATGCTATGTGTGTTTTGCTTGCCGCCATCTCCTGCCAGCTTCCCTTCTGTACATCCGTTTGCACACGTTTGAATTTTAATTTCATTTTTCGGAGACTAGTTTGCAGGAAGGACTCACTTAGAAAGCAAAAGAAAATAATACTTGACAATTATGAAAACAAAAAAAAAATACTTTTAAAATTTTGACTTGATTAGTTTCCTATTTTCTTTCTGGATGGGGGATGGGTGTACATTCGGCATTTAACTGGATACTAATTGTAGTTGTTTTGACAATCTGTTTTTACAATTGCTGTTTATTCTTCAAATTTTGGTTTCATGGACTTAGCACCCTTGTGTGATTCAGTATTTTAATGATATTAATTTTTTTCCTTTCTTTTTTTTTTTTTTTTTTTTTTTTTTAATCCCCAAGCAAGGCAATAAAGCCACTAAGACATGAGTTAGTTACTAAGATGATTCATCATCGTTCCTTCAGCCTCCCTATGGCTGGTTGGAACTCCATTAACAATCCCTTTCCACACTGTTTGGTCTTGTATTGCTCTCCCCAGGTCCCCCAAATTCCGAGCTATGGTGTCTGGGAAAGTCAACTTTCATGAGAACATTCTTCCAGAAGGATGCCATAGGAGTAAGGATGAGACAATTTCCCTGTCTGCCCGGTGGCAGTGTCCGGCAAACTGTAATCATTTTTGTTTAACTTTAAGAGAGTTTGGTCTCAGTTCTCTGTAAATTGTGTTAAAAGCATTGCATGGGATCCCCAACTGATATTCTGGATCTGTCTAAGTAGATTTGTATATGCTCCATCCAGTTGTCTTTCAAGATGAACAGATAATGTCCAAGTTTCTGATCCATACAGTAGGATTGGTTCAATCAATGTTTGTTGCAATAGTAAGATAGTTACTGAGTGGAAATACGAGAAAAAAACCCTATTAAGAAGAAAGGGTAATAAAAGAACAAGAATTAAGAAGGCAGCAGATAAAGATAGACATTGTATTTAAATTTTTGAAGATCAAAGTTGACTGAGAAGCAAAAAGCCAGAAGAGTTCCACAAGCAAGAAGTGCGATAGAAGAAACTGCTAGCATAGAACTTACGGTTCATCATTATGCCCTCTAATTCCTTGGGGAACATAGGGCCACAACAACACCTCCCCAATGGACGCAGTTCTGGATGATCTTCTTCAGCTCGGCCCATGTCATGCCAACTGCCTTCCCAGGAGATTTTCACCAGCATGTGTCACACTCCACTTTGAAGGACTCTTCCTTGGCCATGTCATTGTTTGAAGATATCATTGAAGTTTCTGTAACAAGTTAGTTTCTAAGTGAGTAGGTTGTTAGCCTACTGCATGACACCCAACCTGGTGGACCATGGTGTGTCTTTCGTCTGGCTCCTACCCAACAGACCTGTTGAGCTTGGTTGGACCTGCTAAGGGCCGAAGCCCCTGCCTACATAGTTCTGGGGTCATTGAAGCACGCAAGCCGTCCTACCATGTCAAGGCAGGATGGAGAACTTACGGTTATATCCAGTCAATTAAACTGTGAACTGATGAGACCTAGCTGCCAATCTAGTACTGCACTTAAATTCATAAAATCTAGATACCATAACAGAAAATTTTGAAAGCATTTATAGAAAAGGCACAGGGAAGCTATATTGCTGTGGTGGGAAAGTGATTGAAGCCAAGATGCCAGGTCAGGATCAGGACATTGCAGATTCTTTGGATTTTATCAAGAATCTCTAAAATGTATAGTAGGTGTACCAAACCAGATGCAGTAGCAATATTCATAGCAAGGACGAATGGTAGACTTGTAAGACAGATTTTGATGAGAAAAATTGCCTAGCATGACACACTGAACAAACATTCTTAGCTGCAGACTTAATTGATTCAGTATACTCTTTCCACTTCATGATTGACATACCATTCATGTTTAATAATATATCCATTCAGGAGCCACTCAAGGTAGAGGGTCACCAATTAAGGGACACAGTTTAAGTGGATACGTGGGGAAGATAATGCTTAATCCTTGACTTGAACAAGTTAAGATTGTAGTGATCAGGAAAGCAACCACACTTTCAGTTCCTCTGAGCACCAGTTTCTGGGAAGAAGCTGTTCAAGTGGAACTTAGGTCTCCTAAATGGAATATGAAGAGAATGAGAGTGGTTTGTTACGACATGCATAGCATGGCAGGTCTTAACCATGAATGTTAGAACTGGTAGATCTAAGGAATGTAGTTTGTCTGTGTACTATCCATGGAAATAGCGAGACAGCAGTGAGAGGTTTACAACACTTCGTCCGTGAGGTAAGGGTTTGTAGGATGGAAAATAATTCATCATCCACAAGGATGTGGAGATGCTTTTGAACTCAAGACTGGAAAATGAAGACTGCAACTACTGCTCAGATATAGCTGCAGTAAACATTTTCGGCCTCATCTGGCTCTCGTAAAGGTAGAGGATAACAAGAGGAATCAAGTACTTACTGATGCTATACATGGAACCAACCATTTTTCCATCATATTTAATGATGGGCAATATGTACAACATCCATTCAAGGTCTGGATTGAGTTTAAGAACCTAGTAAGCGTTGAAGGCATAGGGCCTCTCTGAGGGAGCATTCATTCATCAGGATTGGTGAAAGTTTAGGGTCCAGTTGGCGATGATGGAATGTAATGAGTTTGTATATAAAAAAAAAAAAAAAATGGTTTGTCTCTTGGTGGATTGAATCAAGTTATTTTACATCATCTCAAAGTCCAACTGAATAAGTGAAAAATGATGGCATAATTCCTTATCATTAATATTCCCATCTAACATTTCAGATTTTTTTTTCCCAATGATTTTATCAACGTATCATAGATGCTGATAGATGTGTGTTCTGTGCCCCTGACATAAAAATCTTTAAGGATGAAATAACATTCCCATCTGTGCATCCCAGGGACACAACTATTTTCCCATGATGCATTGCATTCTTCCAGATATTTTTTTATTAGTTCTTCCTTTCTTTCACTTATTCTTTTCTTTCATTGAGCAGTGGGATGTGTGGTTGGCATAAAATAGACGTCAATGTTACTTTACCAGAAACTTTCTTTTGTTTATTTTATCTTTTTAAATTTATTTGTTGAGACTCAGCTTATTGAAGTTTGCTGACTGTTGCTTTAAATGCTATTTTTGTTTTTAAATTTATTGATTCAATTTAAAAAAAAAAAAAAGAACTTTTGTTCTGTCATAATTCTAAAAAAAAAATAGTTTTTTTTTATTTGAACTGTGATTAAAGTGTAAATACTGATTTTGTTTTGAATTTATTAATTTAAAAAAATGTTCTGTTAATTTAAGTGATTGGACATAATTAAAATTGATAATAAAAAAAAAATAATAAACTTAGTCTGTAGCCTTGCAGTTTAACACAAAAATTTATTAAGAAACTTTTTTTGTCAGGACCCATTGAATTTTCAAATCATCTGTGGGTCCCGGAGACTCTCTACATTTTTTATTTTTTTGAAAAAAAAAATCGAGCAAACATACAAATCAGTATCACTGACATATATTAATCAGGGGTTCAGTTTATTACTTAATAACAATACAAAACCGATCCCCCACCTTATGTCCAGTAGCATCTTATATTAAGACAAATTTACCCATGTTGCCAAAACCGTTGATCTATTTTGTTAAGTATTTACTATTATTAGTTTTCACACCTGAGATTTTAGATATATTTTTCAAATTATTATCTCAATGAAATGAATCCATCTTAAACTTATGGGCTGTATAGTGGCCAAGTGGTTAGAACATTCGCATTCTGTCCATGAAACCTGGGTTCGAATCTCACCATAGTCGATTTGTCAGGAAGGAGACTTCCTGATGTTATCAGACTGGAGGAGTTGATCCCAGTGTGTGGCACCTTTGGAAAGTGCCTAAAAAAGCATAGCATGGGTTGACCCAAGCCTTGTGAGTGAAATTGGGTAGACGGAACCCTTGCTAGCACAAAGTCACAAGTCATCGTGGTCGAGGGCTTGAGCGTATTGTCCTTGTTCAAATAGTTGATCACACTAGATAACACGATGTTTCCCAGAAACTGTAACTAAGGTCTGCTTAGCATAGTTGTGGCATAAACCACAGGTTGGCTATGTGGGTGTTGAATAAACACAAATGCGCCTGAGCAAGTGTATGCAATAGGGATTGGCTAGCTTCCTTAGTAGGCAGGTATCTTCAAATACAAGTGGACAACTCTTCATACAGTAGAGTAGTAGAGTTCTCCAGTCTTCATTGGCAACTTGTCTAGGAGAAGGACAACTCTGAATTCAAACTATATGTGGTCCTGGGGAGGCACATACTATACAGCTATCAAAGAGATCATGGAGGTTGATTAACTGATGTTGTGGACTCTGTTATGACTGAGGTTAGCCTGTATTGAGATTTCTACAGATTTAGACTGTGAATTTGATGCTAGGAGCCCTACTATTTAACCCATAACTGGGGAGAAAAGTTACAGTACATTGTGTTTATTTTATAATAATAAGGGTATTTGATTGTTCATGTTGTATTATTTGGTTGCCTGAAGTGTTTATAGACTTAACTGTCCAAGTTGAATTCTTTTGTATTAATGTTATTTCCCTTCTTTTTCATGCCCCCCCTCCCTGGGCCCACCACCACCTGATATTGGTTATTCAATGTGCTCTCTTTGCCAAGACAAATTCAGATAATCTGCAGATTAACTCCAATTAATCTTCTTTCTCACCTTATGCTGTCTCGGTAAATGCAAATGATTGCTGTTCTGCACCCAGGCACCTTGCAGCTTAGAAAACCACAGTCCCCTTGTTTTCCCAATTCCTTCCCTCCCCCATCTTCCAATTACACAGTGTCTCTCTCTCTCTCTCTCTCTCTCTCTCTCTCTCTCTGCCCCACCTTTCCATCCAGTCTACATTGTTTGTCCTTCTCTCTCATCCCTGACTATATAGTTTTTTCTCTATCCCTCTCCCTTCTCCTGACTGCATTCTCTCTCTCTTCTTCCCTCCCTCTGTTGGCTGCTTGCTTACTTGCACTCTCCCTGTCTACCTCCCTTGGCAGTGACTGCTTGATCTCTCTTTCTCTCCCTCATCCCCAACTATATGGTGTCTTTCTGTCTCCCTACTTCTGCCCTAACTACATGGTTTCTTTCATTCTCTCTCTCTCTCTCTCTCTATCTATCTATCTATCTATCTATCTATCTATCTATCCTGCTTGGTCTCTCTTTCTGTCGCTCTGTCCTTTCTCCACTTGACTCTGCATTGTCTGTCCACACCTCCTTCATCTCTGACCACATGGTCTCTTTCTGTCCCTCCGCCTGGCTGCATGGTCTCTCTATCTCTCTCTGCTGCTCTTCTGATTGCTTGCTCACTTTCACTATCCCTGTCTCCCTTCCTCAGCCTCGACTGCTTGAACTCTCTCTCATCCCCAACTACAATGTCTCTTTCTATACCTCTGCCCTAACTACATGGTTTTTGCTCCTCTCCCTGTGTCCATACTGCTTGGTCTCTCTCTCTCTCTCTCTCTCTCTCTCTTCTGCTTGCCTTGACTGCACCATCTCTTTCTCTCTCTAGCTTATCCTTACTCTGACTGCTTGGTCTCTCTCTTCCTCCACCCTACCATCATCATTGCTTCCTCTTTCTCTCTTTGCACCCCCTCACCCCTACTACATGATCAGTCACTCCCCACTTCATCTCGTGCAGTTTCACACTCTCTTTGCTTCCCCACTCTGATCCACTAATTACTCCACTTGGAGTGCAACCTTCAAATGGAGGAGTGATAGTCTTCATTTTGACTAATTGGTTTGGTTTGGGCAAAAACAAATTTCAATGAGGGTCCTTCGCTCGTGTCTGATCCCAAAGAAACACAGCCGTTGAGTTGACATGTTTACCTTGGCTCTTGTAATCATCAGTACCCACTCCCACTCCGTCAGATCATTGTATTGCATATTCAAGACTTTTGATGTTGTTTCATATCTATATCAGTTTATTGTCTTGCATTGAAATGTTGGCAAGAATGTGAACCACTTGTTTGTTTTATAAAACCGACCTTGATTGTTGTTATAAAAAAAAAAAAAAAAAAAAATACAAAAAATACCCACCAATGTTAAGGGTTAACAAGCCCCCAAATTACTCAAACTGTTCACTTATTTACATTTCACCAATTGGAATATGAAGGGAATGACTGTTTTGCTACAATGTGTGTAACATGGTGGGTCTTAGCCGTAAAAAGTTAGAACTGGTGAAGTTAAAGAAAGTGATTGATTTGAACCATTTCCATTGAAATAGCAATAGTTGTGAGTGACTTGAGACATTGTCTGTGGGGAAGGGATTGTATGATAGAAAATAATTAATTATCCACAAGGGCGCAGAGATGCTTTTGGACTCTACTGAGATTGGAAAGTGAAGACTGGACAGCTCCTGCCCATACATGGCAACAGTACCCCATTTTTGGTCTGATCTGGTTCTTATAAAGGTTGAGCATAGAAGTCCAGTATTTACTGGTGCAGTACAGGGAACTGATAATTTTTTCCCCTGCATCGTTAGTGATAAATCATATATACTAGTTCCATGCGACCTGGGTTGATCTAAAATTCCAATAAGTTCTCAAGGTATTGGCTTTTCCAGACAGAACACTAGTTCATCGCGATAGGTGAAAAATTCAGTGTCTGCTCAGTGATAATGGAACATCACTAGTTTGGTTTTCAAAGCATTGAATGTGACCAGTCAGTCCCCTCTGCCTGTGAGCTGTTAAAGCTAGGTCAGAGGAAAGGTCAGCTGTCAGGTTGTGGCCATCTAAATTTTTATCATGAGTAGATGTCTTAGATTATTATAGTTTTTGTAGTGCTTGTTAATGTGTTGTTTAACTGTAATTTGTACTCTGTGTAGGCACTCAGTCTCCACGACTGAATCCGTTAAGACACTATTCATGTATGAACAAATCCATCTCCAATCCAGAGAATAAATGAAGACTGATAACTAGAACCTCATAACCAGCTGCTTCGGGTGCTCAACAGCCCAGAAAGGCAGTACATTTGGGGGAAGGAAAAACCCTGATTTTTAAACCTTTGCTGCCTTGTGGTCATATCCAAACACGGAAAAACTATGGAAGTAAATCCAGACAGAAAACCTGGAGTGGAACCCTAAAGGTGGTTAGCTGTCAACACTGACAATTTTCTGGCAAATACTGCAGCCAAGCTAGCTCGAAATGTAATGACCTGTATTCCTCTGGATTCTGTTCCTACAGGCAAGAGGCGAGACCCTGTCATCTGGGCAGCACATTGTCTCCATATACCATTGCCCAGGCTTGCACCCTGGAGCAATCATGTCAATCTCGAAAGGGCTGAATTTAGACCAAATGGTGTAGTAGCTTTATCGCACAAGATCAACAGATGCCTATTATGTACAAACAACTTCACAAGATGCGTAGTAGTAGCTGAAATCTCATTGACAATTACTTTATTCTGAATTCTTTAGTGTTTTGAGGTCAGACAGTATTTAACCTTGAATGGAATGATGTTAAAAGGAAATTATAAAAGAAAAGCAAAGCAACTGAAGATTATGGCAAAAATATTTAATCTTGGATTTCAGTGTATTAAAGATTATAACTTGAAGAAAAAGCCTGTAAAAATTAGCTTATTTGTGAAGTTAGCAGTCTAGCTAATACCACTAACAAATTAAGGAAATGAATTTTTCTTTTTGTTGAAGAACTGTTTTAGAAACTTCACCAAATTCCTGTCGTTAAAGCGATTAATTTTGAGTTCTTAATCCTTTTGGATGTGATAATCATCTCTAATGATGATCATGTTAAAGAATTTACAAACTGTGATTGCAGACTTGTAATGTAGTTTGAGTGGCTTTTTCACTGATGTATACCATATATAGTTTTTTATTATTTTTTTATTTTTTATTCCAAGCAAGGCAATAATGCCACTAAGACAGAATGTGTTGTTGAGTGTTAGAGAATATGAGAAAAAAATATTATTAAGGAGAACAATAACAAAACAAGAATTAAGCAGATACAAGATAATGATTGACATTGCATTTAAATTTTTGAAGATCAAAGTTTGGGAAGCAAGAATTCATAAAAGAGTTCTACAAGTGAGAAGTGTAGTAGAAGAAACTGTTAGCATAGAAGTTGGTTATATCTAGCCATTTCAACTGGGAAATGATGAGACCTTGCTGCCAATCTAGTACTGCACTTAAATTCATAAAGTCTAGCTACCATAGAAGAAAGTTTATCAGAACAATTACCATGAAAGTATTTATAGAAAAGCCACAGCGAAGCTACATTACATTGGTGTGGTTACTGAAGGTGAAATGTCAGGTCAATAGATTCTTTGGATTTTATTGGTAATCTCTAAATATATAACAAGATCTCCAGACCAGATGTGGCAGCAGTATTCAAAGGAAGAATGGATGGTAGACTTATAAATATGTTAGGTAGATTCTGGTGAGAAAAGTAATTCTAGACATTTTTTTTTACAATGTTGGTTTCTATGAAAAGAAACCAGGAAAGGATCGCTGGAAGGATTTGAGAAAAAGTTAATTTTATTTTATGTAACTGTATCTGTCCCCTGCTCTAAAAAATACAAAATTTTCAGATTGTTTGTGTTAGCCTTGATTTGTTCAGGCAGAATTCAGTTACCCACAGAAATTTTGATTTTTATCTTGTCTGGAATAATTTAATCCTTTTTTTTTTTTATCTGTTGGTCTTTGTCATGATCATGGCTCTCCACAACTTCGAAATGAAACATTTTTGCTTTCTCTCTTTCCATTAAGATGGAGTGGTGATTATTATTATTATGCCTTTTGATTCCTTAGGGAACATATGGCCGCAACAACACCTCTCCAATAGAGTTCAGAGTGATCCTCTTCAGCTCAGGCCATATTGTGCCGGCTGCCTTCACCCCTGTGTCAACACTTCTGTGCCGTGTTTGTTTTGGTCAACCCACTTTTTGCTTCCCTTGTGGATTCCAGTCAAGGGCCTGCCTGCCTGCCTGGTGACACTAGAAGCAGGCTTGCAGAGTGTGTAGCCGATCCATTTCCGTTTCTTAATGTCAATCTCAATTGGGGCTTGTCTAGTCCTGTCCCAAACTGGAACAATTATATTGAATCAGTTGCTCACTCTGCTGCAAGGAAAGTCAGTTCCCTGTGTTGTACCAGATAATTTTTCTCAACAGAGTCCATTTTAAACATATACCATTTGTTCATGCATTGAATATTGCTGCCACATCTGGTTTGGTGCTCCTACTATATATCTAGAGATTCTCGACACAGTCCAAAGGAGGGTCTGCAATGTTATAGGTCCTGACCTGGCATCTCTATTTTAATCACTTTTTCAATGCCATAACATGGCATCCCTTTGTTTTCTATAAATATTTTTTTATGGTAGTTTTATTTTTTTAATCGTTTACTCCTGGCAAGCCACTGAGGCACAAGGAGTTACTGAGTATGGAAGAATTAGTAAAAGGAAGACCACTAAGGAGTGAGTACAGAAGAGTAATCAAGAGAACATTAGATAGTGATTGACATTGCATTTAAATTTTTGGCAATCAAAGTCTACTGGAAAGCAAGGAGCCAGAAGCGAGTTCCACAAGTGAGAACTGTGAAAAGAAACTTTTAGCATAGAACTTATGGTTACATCTTGTATATCGACTAGCAGCATGACCCGGCGTTGCCCGTGCTTGATTCAAAAATTGTACGACTCATTCAGCAATCACTATCACTTGACTTAAAATATCTTTGCTCTTCCTTGCCTTTAAAGGAGTGCCCTTTGCCGTGATGATTTTGCTACATGTCTTACTTCTTGCCTATCTCACTGCGAATTTTTTATAAGCTCAATACTAAACATTAAATCTGTTACGTAAAAAGAACTAAACAAAATGAACACAAAACGATCAGCTTTAAAAAAAAGGACTCGTAACTGGAAAAATCAAATGAAAAAAGAATGTTAACACAAATGCTTTTTCACACCCGACCCAGTTTTGCGGAATCAGAATTGTTGAGTTTAAGCAAGCGAATGAGCCAATTGGAGTAAAGTGCCATGCAGATTTAAATTTTTCCCACTTTTTTTTTTTTTTTTTTTTTTTTTTTTTGCAGGCTAGTTAACATTTGTGTCAGTCAACTGTTGGCTCTCATGCTGGCCAATAAAATCTTCCTGCCTATTTGTGGCAGCCAGCTATAGGCTCTCACTCTGGCCAGTAGAAAATAGCTGCAAACTACATGAAAACTGCTGTAGAAGCATGAAAAAATC